ATATCAAAATATGCCAAAAAAATATTAAAACTATAAAGAATTTGAATACTAAATTGAAAGATAAAACGGATACTACAAAAAAGTCAAATGTGATTTATAACATTCCTTGTAACAATTGTAACTTGGATTATATTGGAACATCTAGAATTCTTAATGATAGGGTAACTTCACATAAAAGTGATATAAAGCTTAATAAGAAATCATGTGCATTAGCACAACATTCTATAGAAACAGGACATAAACCAAATTATTCAAATATCAAACTTTTACATACAGAAAAAAATATTCAAAAACGCCTTTTTCTTGAAATGGTTGAAATTAATAAGTCTTCTGATTGTATGAATAAGAAAATTGACATTGATAATCTCAGCAGTATATACAGTAACTTACTGGAACTAGGTACATCAAAAACATAATGATAATGAAAATTGTAACTTTTTCTTCAGAAAGAGTTACAATTAACTCTTTCTTTAGAGTCAAAAATTATGAAATCATCATACTCATTGAAAAATGACATTTATGTGAAGGTATGACATTTGTCAAAACCAAAAAAATCCTATACATGTTAACTTTTTTCGTCAATTTATATGTTCAATTCATTCATAAAATTATGACTCAATGTCACGAATGAGTTCAATCTACTCATGTCATTCATTCGCTTAATTAAATCCCAGCCATAAGAATCTTGTTTACATTGAAAGGGGGATATTTTAAGGAAAGATCCATTTTTGGGAAAGAAAGGTTTTGGTGTTTTACTCATCCATCTTTATGCAAAAAACTGTGGGAATCTTCTAAAGAAAGGAAGGAAGCAATCAATTTCAAAAAACTAATTCTATATAAAGATGTGTAGATCATACAAAGAAGTAACTTTCAGAAACAAACTGGAAGAAAAACCCTCTCGAAACAGCCACTTTCATAGAAACATTAAATTACATGAAAGAAAATACTTTCGAAACAAATACTTTTATATGAACACTGAATAATACAATAAAACACTTTTCTCTATTCAGTTTGTATAACAAACTTCCGTTATGAAATTGAATAAGATATAATTCACAAAATTGCTACACAATATAGTGAATGAAAGAAGTAAAATCTCACTTACATGGAATACTGACATCCTCACTGGTGGAAATCCGATGTTTCGCCGTAAGACTCTTGCCTTATCAGCTCTTCAGTACCAAATCTAGATATCCAAATTTAAATTCATTCATAAAATTACGACTCAGTTGTGTTACTTCTTTGCATGATCTACACATTTTTATATAGAGTTATCTTTTTGAAATTGATCGCTTTCTCTCGTTCTTCGGAGGATTTCCACATTGACATATATAAAGATAGAGATAGAAAGCCAAAATTATCCATATGTGTTAGAGAAACTCCAGATTCTGAATATCCTAGGTAATGCTGTGTTTTTCAAGAGACTCCGAAATTTTGAAAAACCTTCCCAGCCAGCCCGCATTCATGCAAGTCGTCGTCAAGGGGAAACAGAACTCTTTCGAAAACACCGTAGTTTTCCCCCCAAGTGGAGTGATCCCTTTCCACGGTTTCACCATGTATGGTAAGTCCAAAATGCGCGAAATAAATGCATCTTGATCGGTTTTGTCCATAGCTGCCCCATTCTGCTACTTGTACGAGAACCCCGTGGAACTCTACTTCGTCTTCAGGGCTTTTTACTTACGATATTGGCACCGGCTGCATAGAGTTTGTGCGAATTCACAAGGAGTCGTTTCGCTTTGCTTGCAATTCGAGAAGCTTCTACAGTGTTACGAACCAGTTCTGTGGAACCATTTCAAGAAGTATAAGATTCCTCCGTAAGACCACAATTCCTATCATTTATTTTGTCAGCAATTTTCAGAGTCAAGGTTATTTGTGCCTTTGTGTCATATATTATCTCTGAAACTTAACCACATTCAAAGATAATTTTTAAAATTTAAGGGACTTTAAGGAGGAAAGAAGATACTAAGCTATAATTGGGTCGCCTAAAGAATAAACATGCCTCATCAATTCGTGCATCCTATATAAGTTAACAAACTAATGAAACAAAAACGATATGACTACTTATTGGAGCAACTTAACCTTTTGAAACAGAATAACTTTTATTTTTCAAATTCACTTATAGTGAAAACCCCCATGTTAGCTTTTTGTTTTAATATCTTAAAACTTCTTTGGAACCTTTGGTGTAGTAATGAATATTACTGGAGTTTTTTCACAACACCAAATCGCTATTTTTAACACCTCGACACGTGTTTCGATCACCAAGTGATCATCTTCAAGAGGAAGATTAAACTAGAAACTGTCGCGAAGCAACGATATTTATGCTATATAGATATACCCTACAGGTAAACCCTACAGGTGTACCACCCATACAGGTATACCACCCTAAATTAATTTTACAATTTTGCCTCATCTATTATTTTACAATATATGTTCAAATGTTATAGCTGGATATAAAACAAGTCATATACTACAGAGCCTTTTGGGAAGTCCAAAAGACAAAGTCGAGAATTCAGAAAAGTCTGGATTTACAAAATTGAATGTAAGGACTGCGATGCAAAATATTATGGATAGACAAACAGATCTATTAAAGTAAGATATAAAGAACACATAGCACACTTAAAATATGGAAGACCTGAAAAATCAGCAGTCGCCCATCATATTTTGTAATAAAACCATTCCATAGACTTCAGTTCACTAAGATTAGTTAGACAAGTTAACAACAACAGGCAACTAGATGCCTATGAGAGTGTGGAAATATGTAAACACAATAATATTATAAATAACGATGACGGACCTATACCAAATAACATACTATATAGCTTGTTGAAATAATATTGTTGGGTTTCCTGATTACTACATAAGGACACATTGCAAACATTAATTTAGCTGAAAATTGTTTTATATACTGCTATAACATTTAAACATATATTGTAAAATAATAGATATGGCAAAATTGTAAAATTAATTTAGGGTGGTATACCTGTATGGGTGATAGATAAGGCAAAATTGTTAAATTAATTTAGGGTGGTATACCTGCATGGGTGGTACACCTGTAGGGTATATCTATATAGCATAAATAGCGTTAGCTTTGCGATAGTTTCTAGTTTAATCTTCTTTTTGAAGATGATCACTTGGTGATCGAAACACGTGTCGAGGTGTTAAAAATAGCGATTTAGTGTTGGGAAAAAAACTCCAGTAATATTATATCTTAAAACTTGTTAGCACTTCATTGAATATGCAGTTGAACGTTTTTTATATTCCATGTTTGAATTGTGATATCTGGTATTTCAAATACATACAATGCAGACGTAGAAAGTCCTCCCCCCTCTTAACTTTTGAACGGGGAAAGATGTCAAAGTCGGACAAAAATGTTATGAAAAGGAATCATTCTTAGTACTTTTTGATAAAAAAGTCAACAGTGTAACTTCGCTATCAGCTTTTTTTTCAAATGGAAAATGGGGTCTTGTAATACATTGCTCGTATATTTCGTATACAACTTCCTTTACTGTTTTCAATTGGGATAACCGGTTGCGAAATTATTGGTATATGAATTGGGGACTAGAAAAAATTATAATTTGTAACTTTGCAACCAAAAAAAATGAAACAGTTTCAAAGTTAGTTATCACAGATTACACAAAGTTTGTAATGTGTAGGAGAAAGAAATCGTTCTCAGAAATGAATCGTAGGTATTTAGAATAAAATTGAACCAAAGTATTCGACAAAAACGCGTCTTTCTGTTTTTTATCCAATTTAGGATTTTTTGTGATCGACTATGAAGATAAGAATCTACACCGTTTGAATTCGTGACAGATCTTGAGAGAAAAAACAGAAGCAATCCTCATTTGCGCCGAGGCCAGCCGTACTTTTTTTGAGGCAGAAAGATTTTCAATGCTAGATTTCCTGATAATCCGATCTGTCGAAAGTATATCAAGAATTCTTTTTTAAATTGGGGGTATATTTTTTAGGAGAGATTAATAATAGGAGAGATTAATAATAATCATTAATGTTAATTTTTTCTTGCGTTAGTTTTTATTCTTTGAGATCAAATCAATCAGTCTTAATTTTCACATCACTCTCATCTATCTCTGTTATAACATAATTCCCCTCCTTAACTAACTTTGGCGTCTTTATTTTCTGTATCACGTCTTCCCAGAATCAGTTGAATATTGGCATGCTGCATGCATTGGCAAATATTTCGTGCATTAACATTTTGCCAAGTAATACAAAAAGGTCGGAATCTGCAGAAGGTTGATAAACCTATCTTATAATTAACTGTGCTTAAAAACTGTTGCTGTAAATTATGCAGTGATCATATAAAACACGCTTTTGTTGTGTTTTACCTTCGTTGGATTTTAAACAGTATTTTTTACCCGATAACATTCTTGAATTTTCATCTTTCTCCAAAAATTCAACTACATCGTCTTCGACACTAAGCATTTTAGTGCTTATTTTGCGAGGTTTTTGTCTTTTGGAAGTATCTTTTTTGAAAAAAGGTTTTGATTCATGAAGTAACTTGTATTCATTTCTGCAGTGATTTGATTTTCAACATTTCGTAACACTTTTTCTTTTTTTTCATGTTTCTTTCCAAGAGCATTGTAACTTGTCTCTAGGTCTCTTGTTAACGCCTCGCTGAAAAGTAATTTCTTCATCACAATCTCAGCAACTTTTATATTACCTTTTTACCTTTTCTTGTATTTTTCAGATAATTTCACTGCATTCTTAATTTTTTTTCCAAATTTACAATTTTTGCATACAAAATAGCTCGGCGCCTTCGCATCTGTCGTCTATTTCGAACAGATACATCTTCTCTACTTTGCTGCATATCTGATGCTGGACTTTGTGGGGGTGTATTATCAAGTACTCTCTGTAAATGTTTGTAAATTGTAGCTTTTTTATTTCTATACACTTTACTATTTTCTTTACATTGTTTTAGTTTTTGTCTAAGTTCTCTAGCAGTCATGTGTATAACCGATTTCACCTGACCCATATCTTTTTTCTTTAAATACTTTAATCAGTCCTTTTCCCGCAGTTTTTCCAAAATATCGGTATTATTTTCCATTTTTTCTCCCCTTTAAAATGGAGGCAAACCGCGGACACGTGTTTCTGGCTATTGGCCTCATCAGCGCGGTGCAGCCAATTGCAAGGATGGACAACAACTGGTTACCAAAACTGAAAAACTTCACATATGCAAGGTGTCACCAACAGGAGCTAACCGCACATTTGTGGTTTCAATTAGAAGACCTAGCATTCCCAGGCATCATCTAACATCACTTCGTAGCAGCTATAGCAACCTGCGTGACTTCCGGGTCCAGGATATAAATACAGAGATAAAGATGTTATTGAGTGTGTATAATATAAATCAAAAAGGGGAAAATTTGTGGACAGAACACTCAAAAAATGGAGGCAAACCGCGGACACGTGTTTCTGGCTATTGGCCTCATTGGCCACAAATTTTCCCCTTTTTGATATATATATATATTATTCCATATTCGATGGTCTATTAGACGTATTTAAGGAACAAAAAAAGATAAGAGTTCTAAATTTTGGTTACCAATGTAAATGGTTGTGATCTATCGTTTAAAAATATTTTCATCACCACAATGTTGCCACATCTACATGTAACAGACATCAACTTGGAAATTTCAAACAGAACACCCTATACAGGCTGATTCACGGTGGATGGCACATTAGACGTTTCTGGTGAACCAGACAACGGATCACTTTGAAAATTTAATGGAGGGCATATCTAATTTATTTGCAATACTTCATTAATAAGAAATTTTGATTTATTTTAGTTGAACAGGCATTTTAGTAATATTTTTGTACTAAGGGACAAGGTGAGGGAATGACTTTCATTGTAACAAAGTGACCATATCTTTTTTTTCTTAAGTGGCAATGTTCTCTTTTTAAACAAAAGTAGTATTAGACAGCATGAATTAAATAAAAAAAAGACTTGCGTAGTTAATGCATATGATTCGGAACCAATGATTCGGGAATCAAATTTCGCAATTTGATGAGAAATACCCATCAGCACTATCCTCCTCAGACTGATAAATATGCCCTTGTCAGAGGCGAATTTCAATAAAGAACTGAACATAATAAAACAAATAGCCATCAACAATGATAACGATAGTAGTCTAATACATCCTTTATTATCAAAAAAGTTATACAGACAAGCTTTTAAGGAAATTTACCCAATTTGAAAAGAAGAGGATAACAGTTACAGAACCTTAACCTACTTAGGCCAACCCACTAAAAATATTTCAGATTTTCTGAACAACAAAAGTGTAAACATTGCTTTCAAAACAAACAATAACTTAGGCAGGCATATTAAGAATAACAAAGATGAAAGATCAGTTTCAGAAAAATCGTAAGTGTATAAATTATCATGTGGGTCGTGTACGATGTTTTATATAGGTCAAACTGGAAGAACGTTCAAAGCCCGCATAAAAGAATACAAAAGTAGTTTTCAGAATGGAAAAATAAATTTCACATATGCCACTCATTTAATCGCAGAGAGACATGAGTTCAATCATGAATTCAAGCCCCTTCATTTCCAGAAGAGATGTGTGAAACTCAACCTGTTGGAGAGTATAGAAATAAACAAATTCAAAAACTCTCAATACCTTAGGAATGATCAAACCGAATTGAATAATTCGCCATTATTGAATCTGTTCATTTCCAGGTAAAAATAGTTAAGTATATTTACACTACTTTCGAAAAATGTATTCATATAATTAATGAATTCATACCTGACCTTTTCAGGTGGATTCATTCATTAGAAAGTAGGCATACAAGTAGGTAATATGTTACATTTCAAAATAGTTGTAATTTAGAAGTAACTTTTAGTTTACGCTTGAGAAAGCGAAACCAGTGTTGCGGTTTTTGTAAAACCCTTTATAGTGAAAATCATACAATAAGCTGTATTAATTAGTTTTAATATGGATTTTCATCAAGTGTCGGCCAGTTCCATTCAATTATTCAATTACAAATAGATTATATAAAACTGTTAATTACTCATAAAGAGCTGATTCGATTTCAAAAAATGAACCAGTATGGGATAAAAAATTGAAAGATATATCAAACTATTCCAAAAGTCCTCTTGTTTTTTTAAAAAATGATAGTGCAATCTGTTGTTTCTCTTATCAAAAGTAATAAAAAGGTTGTCCCATTCAAAAGATGAGATGGGGACACTTCTCACGACCGCATTGTATAATCTTTTACTAAAACCCAGAAATCATAATTTTTTCGCTTGTTTTCAGGCTGCGGGTGGTTATAAAATGGATAATGCGAGCTTTCAGCGGCCATCTGCCTCCTGAGCAACTGCTGACACTGTGGGACTTGATTCTGGCGTACGATTCTCTGGAAATCATTCCCCTACTTGCCGTCGTCATAGTGATATTCCGGAAAGACAACTTGATGAAAGTTACCACTTTGCAGAACGTTGAAGCGGTTTTAGCTGACTTGTCCTCTATTGCTGTCGTTCCCTTGTTGCAGATGGCTCTGATGAGAGAATAGAAATTATCTTATTCTATCTGGAATTGACAGATCCTTTAATGGAATGATTTGTGTGATTAAAGGATGAAACGAGTATGTTGGTGTTTGTTTTCTTGTAAATTTTTTTGTGAAAATAGACAAACACCAAGAGAACTTCAACAGAAAGGAAGAGAGAACATATCTACCAAAGATCTCGCATACAGCATTGAAACGAGCCAAAACGAAGTCATGTCACCCAAATCGAGCGGGAATTACACGCGAACCTGCCATTACAGAAAGTGCGCGAAAAATCAGCACTATAAATGACATGGCAGAAATAGGAGCTTCAGTTTCAGTTAATACGTCAAGAAGCAGAGTACTTCGACCGCGTCACTGAAGATGACCGCAGTTGCAGTTGTAACGTTTGGAGATTCTAACTGAAGCATATCACTGCAAAACCCGGAAACCAACTAAAACAATTGTTCCAAAACTTACCTTCCAAAATGCATTAAATGACTTACAAAGACAAGCTTGTCTGGCCATCAGTGATGCCATCAGTACCACACCGTCAGCGGCCATGGAGATCCTTCTAAATCTGCCTCCTCTCCACATTTTTCTTGAGAGAGAGGCTAGATGGACTGTATATAGAATTGTGCACATTGCCAATTGCACAAATCAATTTAATGCAGAGTGCAACAGACTGTTGGTCACTGAAAGTCACAGCATTCTGGAAATGACCTCTGACTTTATGCCTCCATCAACTACGAACTGCCTTATAAAGTACTGTTCCCGAGTAGAGAGGACTGGATCCTGCGAGAGAAGAAAATATTAAGAGCAGATAGTTGTTGGTTCACAGATGGATCAAACACACCTTCCGTCACCCTGGACAGAGATATCAACCTGTCTAGGAACCTATGCGACTGTATTTCAATCGGAAATTTACGCTATTGAATTGTGTGCAACTTCTAAATTGGTAGCAAATTGACAAAAAGAACTCTCCTCGATAGGAAAACTCAACAGATTGTCTCTGGTCTGGATTCCTGGCCATACTGACCTGGAAGGCAATGAAGCTGCTGACTCTCTTGCAAAGGAGGGTGCTGCAAGCAGCTTCATCGGACCAGAACCTGTCATTGGCACTGCTTCAAGCTTTGTCAAACAAAGATTGGACACCTGAATGGCAAGAAGATTTATGGACTTCTGGCAGAATCTTCCAGGGTTGGCTCACTCCAAGGCTCCACCAAACAGCTGTTGGACTGAATCATCATATGCAGAGACTCGGACTGTCGGAAGACAGTGTGTATCGCCTCTGTTTGTAAAATGATGAAACAGCAGAGCACATACTTTGTGCCTGCCCGCTTGGGACCGAATCAGGTTTTTAGAGTTCGGGAGAACTGTACTCTTACCATCTGACCTGAAAGACCACTCATCATACAAACTAATCGACTTCGTTAAGAAGCTGGGTTTATTTGGTCAAGTGTGAATATGTGTGAGCCACGATAAACCCTTGCGGGTTGCGGTGAAAGGTCGAATAAACCCACTCACTTCGGACCTAACCTAACCTACCTTCCAAAATGCATTAAATGAATTGACAAACAGACTTTGTTATTGTCAGTGAGTGGATGGATAGTTTGAATATTTTTTGGGATAAACTGGAGGGAGTTTTGAATGCAACTTTTAATGAAATGAATATTAAACTACTAATAACTCAGGATCGGTTGGTTTGCTTTCCAAAAGTAAACTCTAGTGTTAGATATAGAATTGAAAGTCCCATCAAACGAAGTACAACCAGTCCCCTTTTTTGAGAAAAAAAAGTTGAAGGTGTCCTCTTGGCGAGAAGTCACGTCAAACTATTTTTTTTTATTTAAAAGGCTGAAAAGGTTTTTTATGTTTGATATCAATATCTAGTTTCGTTGAGAAATTAGGACGGAGAGATCATTTTTGTCATCATTTCGTGAAATATGGAAGTTCTAGTACTAAATTCAGTACATTCGAAACCTTGAAATACTTTTAGTACTCCTTTTATTGTTTTAGTAAATTTTCACCAGGTTGTTTATCGGACCAATCAGGTGATTGAATCAAACTCACTCTGCCACCTCTTGTGACTTCAGTTATCTGTTATTAATGTCAACTAGGACTTTGAATTCAATGAAAACCACGGTGGATGGCACATTAGACGTTTCTGGTGAACCAGACAACGAATCATTTTTGAAATTCAATGGAGGGCATATGCGACAATATATACCCAACTCAAATATTTTCGACAACGCGGTGTTGCCACTTCAATTAGAAAGTAGAAACAAATTTTATTTTTCAAATAGAACACCCTGTATATAATATTATTTTTGGAATCTACGAAAATTATTTGACAACTTTTCTTGATATTTTCCTGATACTATGCTACCAAAATTTGATTTGGAGTTAGGTGATACTTGGAGGCTTCTCACACTTCAGCGTAATCTTCGTTACTTCAATACAGAGAGGTAAAACATACAGTTTTTTCGGTTGCTTGAAGAAGTGACTGAAAGTTGATTATTTCAAATACAACACCCTATGTACTATCACAAATTCAGGAAGCAGTTAAAATTTGCTTTCTTTCTGTGTATATCATGCGTATACCTAACTAGTCAAGTTTCGGACTTATAAGCATTTATTTGTGAAAATATCCTTTCAGAATGTTATTCCCATTCGTTATTTTCTGAGCAATATGTTTAGGTAAATTTAAAAAAGAATACGAAAAAACTTGAAAGTGGAAATATTGATATGAATAGTTATGAGAAAGTTAAACAATCATGTGGAATGATTTAAAATATGTTCGAATCGCTGGCCGTTCATATCCAAACACTTCAAATGCGGGTGTTTACTGGCAGATCAGATTTCATTGGAATCCAAATGTTTGAGTAATCGTTTCTAACAATTCATCTTTCAAACATTATCCACAGGCACAAATTTAATGGATTAAGATCGGGTGATCTCACTGGCCAATTCCATGGTCCCAAGCGCCTTATCCACCGATCGTCAAAAAGTATGTCCACTTATGTACAGGAGCTCCGTCTAGTTGGTACCAACATTATTATTTTTATTGCACAGTTAGGTATCTTCTGAAGATTTTATATTTTACTTTTTGGGCATATGTTAATTTTATCGTATTTTGTGACATGTTCTAAAGCTGTAGCTTTGTTATGACCCAAATAAAAATTTGAATTTTCGATATTCTTCGAGTGGCAGATTATCGACGAAGCTCTTTAAAGTATTCTTCAAAATATTCAAGTAGCTTCTGAATGTTAATGATAAGTATATCGCGTACCTCAATTTGCTGTCCATTAACATGCAGAAGAATGTCACAACGTTACTGTCAAATAGTTATCATGGCCTGCTTACAAAATATCGAAAGTGAATACCATTCTGAAGGGTTAGGTTAGGTTAAGTCAAAAGTGAGTGGGTCTATTCAACCCACCACCGCAACTCGCAAGGGTTTATTGTGGTTCACACCTATTCAAACTCGACCAAATAAACCCAGCTTCTTCACGATGCCGATAGTACTTTTTTTCACAGGCTTGCGGCAACACCAATTGCAACCTATCTCTAAGTAAATCCCAACCCGATCGTACTTAGACTCAATAAAAACCCAATAATGACCACAAAATAACAGGAAATATGAAGACGCTGGCTACGCCAAATCAGCTACGCCAAGCCAACGGTAACTCATTCACAGCCACCTCGATCGGCAACTGTCGAAGACTACGCGACAGCGAAGCATGCGCACGCAACACCTCCCGCTCAATGATGTCACCGCGTGACCTTCAGCCGAAACCGAAACGCTGCACCATCGTCGCTATGGCGCGGTGTGCAGGCGATCGAGGCTGGCTCTATATTTACTTCCGCCGCCTGGCAACCGTCCACCCAGGACGTACGTCGAGGTACAGTGCGGACGTTTTTCTAGAATATCTCCGCTCGCCTTGGTATTGTGTTTTAAGTTTGGAGACGGGGCGAGGGGAGCTTCAGGGAAAAAGAGAGACGGTGGGCTAAAAACTGGTAAGGGAGGTGGCTAATTCCGTCTCTGTCTGGAGTAGCTATAACGGTGGATTTTTTCTCTAGCTTTTTAAAGATAGAGGGCCGCGTAACTTATTACATCGTAATCATACTTTTTAGAAATTTGTCGACATGTTTGTTTATTTATGCATTAATTTCAGGCCAATACATTAGTGAAGGATAATGTTGTCGATACAACTTTCAAAAATATAATTTGAACACACAAAATTTGATTTTTCAATTTGAAATGTTTCAATTCAATAATGACTTAAATGGTAGGTGGAAACGACAGAAGACTACAATAAACTCTTCTATTGAGTCAGATTTTTTTTGTGGATACAGCAGATTTGATATCAGGCGATAACATATTAGAAAGTGGATTGTCTGTACCCCTTGTTGATCTCTTGAATTATTCATGATGATATTTTTTCTTGTATACATTTAGATTATTTCTTATTTATAAATCGAATAAATGATACAGATTCACAAATTTGCAGGTTTCAGTTAGAAGAAACTTTTAGTTTGTGATTATATCGATTACTTTAAATCTATTCCTATTATCATTATAAGTACTACATTCTTTATTATACTCCTCGATCGTCAGAGTGGATCCAATCTTTTTTACTTTGGATGAAAAATATTTTTTAAAGATCGATTATCTTATATACGGATTATTCACGTTATTGATTTGAAATTTAGACCACTGTTAACTTTCTAAGAACCATAAGGTAATCAAAAAATGGAAAATATATTTATAGCAATTTCCGAACATTTTCCCGGCCAGTCATCCAAGTTTTTTGGTTGTGAAAAACAGGTTGTATGAATGGCATGAGATATCTCAAATGAAAATCATAGAGAGTGAAATAAACCATGTTTCAAAATCAACTATCAATATACAGAATATTGCTGGAGTTTTATCCCAATGTTTGATCTTCCTCTTGAAGATGATCACTTGGTGATCAAAACACGTGTGTCGAGGTGTTAAAATAACGGTTTGGTGTTGGGAAAAAACTCCAGTATTATTCATTACTACACCAAAGGTTCCAAACAGTGCATCAAAAATCAATATACAGGATGCACAAAAAAGTTCCACTCGATTGTTTCCTTCATAAGAGTTGTTCACGAAAAGGGTTCATGCAATTCCAAATTTCTATGAGTACTATTCAATAAGATGAAATAAAAAAAATTCCACCAATAATCCTTTTGAGAATAAGTATATTTTCATTTTTTATTCGTAATTTACCAAGTGAGGCTTTTTCTATACAGGAGTAACCAAAATAAGGGTAGTTATTTTTAAAATATAACTTTTATTACTCTTTACCAATTCTATTTGGAATTTTTTCGTTGTTGATATGGATTGGACTTTTCCAATTATTCACAAATATAGGTACAGAGTACTTAGGTAGTGACATATCAAAGTTAGGTTCATAAATGAAATGTCATGCATTGGGATTTTCCCAGAAGAGTTTTTCAGAAATATAGTATTGTATGGTTCAGAAGTTATGCCTAAAATAAAGTCAAAAGATGATGATCTGTCAAATTGCGCCTACTTATTTTCACAAAAAATGAAGTTAAAGAGTCCGTTTTATCGTGATGATATATTGTAAATATAATTTCTTCTTGGTTTTTATGTGATTACCCTTTGAAGAGCATTTTCTACGAATATATCGGGTTTATATTGAAAGGTTTATATTTTTAGGAGTGACTAATTTTTGGGAAAGAAAGTTTTTGGCTTTCGCTACCACTCCATCTTGATACAGAAAAAAATGTGGGAATCTTCCAAAGAAAAGAAGGAAGTATTTTTTTTACCATTCATTTAGTGTAGAACTCCTGTAAATGATATCTGATTTTATTNAACATTGCCAAATTTAACCAAAATCAGATGAGCGATATTTACAAAATGAATACAAAAAAAGAATTTTTTGAAAAGTTTTGCGCACTGGATCTTGGAAACAATGCCTTTTTGGATCTATATTTAAAAGAACTTGTTTCACAGAATTAGCCTCCGAACACGCCCTTATATTTCTTCATCGCAAAATTAGCTTTTTTTTCACTGCAATTAGAACACTCCACGTATACAGAAATCGACCAAATCCATAAAAGCAAAGCGGCCGATTGAGAAAGTTGGGATGGTCAGCCTGACCCTCCCGAAAAATAAATGCTACTTAACAAGAACATAATATATTGAAAAATATTAATACCGCACTCAAGCGAGTTTTTTGTCATTTGAAACGTTTATGGGCAGCTATTTGGTAGTCCGTTCAAGTAATTGACTGAGTTGAATAAATTCAAGTGTTTCAGTTCAGGACCCCGCGCAACTGAACGAAAACGACTCACTCAGATTCCAAGAAATTGTATACAAGAGATGATATGTCTCACATATGAGCCACTATAGTTATGCTAAAGTTTTCAACAATTCTGTCGATAATTTTATTTCATTTTTTTTATCGTGATGATGGGTATGTGGCATGTTAAAATAAATTACATCTTTTGGAATGATAAAAAAGTCGGAAGGGATCAAATCGGGTGATCTTGCAGGTCAATCCATATCACCATAACGGAAAAAATTCAGTCCGACAACGTGTTTCTCGTATTATAATTATTGAAATTTATTGAGGAGTGAAGCAATTTGTTTTCATTCGGATTTATTTCGAATAGGTTTTCTATATTCTTGTACAGTAGGTACCACAGATGAGAACTGTATTTAAAAAGATATCGAAAATGTTTTTTACTCATTATAAATTTCTTAAGAATGTCCAGGATTTCAACTAGAATATGAATTAATATTTAATTTCAAATAAGAACTTCTGAAGGAGAAAATTCGAAATTCGACATTTGACAGATGTAAACCACAGAACACAAATTTCTTCATGTTGGAAAACACTATTCTTGCAAGGTAGTAAATCAATAGGTGAATCAAATTTATTACAACTAGGCGACCAAAGTTTCCCAATCTATTTGAAACATATCTGTTGTAGAATAAAATTGAACACCTTTCATTTCGTCAGATAATTAGAGGTTATTCTGTCAAAAACTCACAGAACACAATATTTTTTCTTCGAAATCTATGAAAATATTACATGAGTTGTGAATTGATTAGGATTATTTGAATATAAAAACATACCTAAATCCAACATCGATGAATTTTGACACACGCTTTGGGGTTATGTCAGATATTCATAATACATTCTTTGTCTGGGCATAAGAAGAGAGAATATGAGTAATATTAATGAAAATATTGTATATGACTTCAGAAACAAATCGTGAATATTTCAATAAACCCAAATCTTGAGAAGTTTTCACGGGAATTTTGGGGTTATTCTGTCAAAAACATGACCCATGAGTCAGGTATCTATGTATTGTCGTAAGCATTCGGCTTGTTTCGGAAACGAGGACGCCATCACAGCATACCTAACAATGCTGTGACGCCATTTCGCAACGCACAACTCTTTCTAATAGTTTCTGTCTCTCTTACTGGTATCGCACGATAGTGATGTGGCATGGTCGGAACGAAACAAGGAGACATGGAATAATCAACGACACACGTTGTGTGGCTTCTTATTCCAACTTTGTAAGTCAAAACCACTTTCCGAAACAGCAAATCGCTTCGTCCCGCCATTTCTACTTGCATTCCTGTTCACTTCAGCGCAGTTTTTCGTGTCCGATTCCAAATCTAGTGTTACAAACCTATAAAGTGAAATATTTCATTCGTTTTCTTTCTAAGTTTTTGAAAGTTTGCTTGAAACAGTATTCATAGACTGATAGAAAAGTCGTGAAGTGCGTTATTTGATTTATTTAGAAAGATTTACGTCAGATGACACTGATGGTTCCTGTTTTGTTTGTGGGAATGTAAACTTGCCGGAAAATTCACTTGGAGAAGATAACCTTAAAAAATGGAAACTGGTAATATCAACCTTTTGGTTCCTAGATCCAATATGCTAAAACATGAATGTGACGACAAAGTCAAAACCGGTGAATCTTCAGTGATAGAAGATTCAGAAAAAACAAGCTCTCCACTTCAAACCAAAAGCTCAAATGAAAGAACAGATGTGAAAGATCACATTGACAAGGAAAACGAAAAATTTGATGAACATGAGATTGATGAAACTGATGATGTAGATAAAATTGATAATAAAAATAATGAAAATGAGACTGATGAAAATACTTATAAGAATGATGAGATTGATGAAGCTAAAGAAAGTGAGGAAAAAAAATCTACTACTAAAAGAGCAGTTGATGATGATGATGATCTTGAGAAAACAGGGAATGATATTGGAAAAACTGGAAACAATATTGAAAAAACTGATGATAGAGATACTTTCAATAATGAAATTTTGAATGACAAGGATGAAGATCATATTGAGGGAATGAATGTGGAGGAAGTAGATCCTTTGGGGAATACTAGTGAAACTGTAACTGTTGAACAAGAAGAAACTAAAGATCTCACCACAGATACGTCAGATCCTTTAAGTACTAAAAGTGAAGAAAAAGAAGTTAAGGAAGTGGAAAATTCTGTTCTGCCAAGTGGTAAAGATTATGAAAACAACAAACAAGATGGTGACAAAGTAATTCCTATGACTTCAGAAAAACCTGAAGAAAATAAGAGTGAAACCAAAGGCGATAAAAGAAGTCAAGATATGGAAGTCAAAGGGAAAACTTCTCAGGATAGTCCTACTGAAGAAAAAAATGGAGATGAAGCTAAATGTGGTGATTCCATCAGGGTCTCTACTGAGTCTGAAACAACAGAAAATACTGAAGGAGGAAAAGACCCAGATTGCCCCTTATTGAAAGAATCTCTCACAAAATCTAGTGATTGTGATAAATCTGAAGGTGAGATGAATATTGTATTGACATCTGAATGGCATTAATTTTCTTTTTGTTTTTGTATTATTTTTAGCTTACGAAGATGTTGAAATGGATGAAGACTTTGATCCATCCCTACTTTGTCCAGAATTGTCCATGGAAGTAGATGAGGCTCCTGTTATAACTGAAAATGGTAAGCAACTTTCTTTCAGTTCATAAAAACCAAAATTTTTTCAAAGAAGTTAGATTAAAATGATCTTTTTTGATAAGTATCTTGATTAATTTGTAGGATAAATCAATTTTTGGAGAAAAAAATTTTGGCTTTCTACTTCCCCATCTGTATACAAAAAATGTGGGAATCTTTGAAAGAAAGGAAGAAAGCAATTAATTTGATCATGCAAAGAAGTAACTTTCAGACACAAACTGGAAGAAAGCCACCTCAAAACATTTTATTGTATAAGGATGGAGAAGTAGAAAACCACAACGTGTCTTTCCCAAAAATGAAATCTAATGCAGCAGATTCTGTATTACAGCATTTCCCAAACTTTTTTGCCTGGAAACCCACCTCCATTGTAGAATTTCTTAGGTGACCCACATATTGAATGATATTGAGTATAATTATTATTACTAAAAATATTTTTATTGTTATTATTATCGTGAAAATTCACTATTAANAGGGATTTCAAATCATTTTATATAGTAGATAATGGAAGTCCGAACTAGTGAAATTCATCATGAAACATTGTCAATAACCTTCAAACAAATGTATATGCCAGTAATCTGACAATTTGAGAGTGACGTAAAGAAAGGGGAAGGCAGCAAAGTTGTAAAAAAATAACGTCATTTCGACATTCTTGAGCGTAGCTAATTTTTGTTTATTTTGAAGGAAATAATTCAAGGGTAACGAAAAATATGTATAATCTGACGATTTCCGCAAGCCGAAATAACCAAAATTCGTCGATAAAGTTTAATGCGTGCAGCTGTATGATACCTATATTTCCCCCTCCAAATTTCTTTCTAAAGTTCTCTATCTATTACTCTCTCACTCCATCCACACTCTGAATTCTGTTGCCATGATGCCATCACAGCTGATCACAGAGACTCGTTCGTGATGAAGATGAAGATGATGATTAATTAATCAATTTTAATAATTATTTTCTTGTAAATACAAGTATTCTACTTAAAAAACATACACTTATTTATTTGCATGAGCTTTTCAATTATTTAATTACAATGATTTAAAAAAAAAATTGTGAGATTAGGCGAATCCCTCTAGATAATCGTCAGATTATGAGACAGCACGTCTGGAACATAAAGATGAACCATATATTACTTAATCTGACGCGCTTGAGTATTTCAAAATGGCGAATTTTTTTTTCACATTATAATGATGGCAGCGAGTTTGCGTCAGATCGAAATCGTCAGATTATTGAATGAGAGCTTTTTCTGGGTGCACTTAATACCCCCTTATACAATCTGACGCCCTCGATTAATTTTTTTTTCTTTTCACTTAAAACCCTTACGTAAAACCACCCGCATCATGCAAACGATCAGATTAACATACGAACATTATTGAAAATACGTAGGACATTGATACTGTCAATATCTGACGCGCTCGAGTATGTCCATGCAACAGTATTTTTTTACATATTTGAAAATCTATAACCGCTTCCCCCACCGATAAAAAGTTATATACGTATTATATAGCATTTTTTTCTTCTTATCATCTAAGCTTTGCAACCTAATATGTCTCTATAACGCTCTAGTAAATCCCCATTTTGCATCGTGGGCTGCCCTACTACAAATTGCTTCCGCTACCCACTAGTGGGTCGTGACCCATAGTTTGGGAACCACTGCTGTATTATATTATTTTTGAAACCTGTATTGACAATTATACGGAAATTTTTATCCATAGAGATGGATCATTTGATAATTTTTTTCCATTTGCAATATATGTGCATTTAAAATTTCTTTGGCAAATTACACATATTATAATGCCAACCTCCCCTTCATCAATCACACACACATCATATTTTTTCTGATTATGACATTGATTTTACTTTAGCGCTAATCATTTTCGAAGAAAATTCATCTTGAAACGCCAACTTGGTTGGTGAAACAAGTCGAGAAGAGTATTGAATTTCTGGTTATTGGGAAAAAGCTTGTTTTGGATTTATTCTAGGCCATTATTTCAGTTTCATCTTTTAACTTCTCTTGGGTTAATTTTTCAACTTTTGCTTTATAGAAGCATAGAAAGAACCAAATAATTCAATTACTATATTAATTGCCATTTATAGTCATTCTATTGAAAGGTGCATTTAGAGAATAATTAGGATTACATAAATTTGTATGGATTACTTTGGTAACCCTGGTTGTAACAATTAAATCATTGAAATTCTGAACAAAGGTATGGCTCCGAGGGGCTGATATTTGCAATGAAAAAAAAAATCCTATTTCAGTTTCACTGGAAAAGAACCCTGGTCAAATTTTTCTAGACTATTTGAGTATAAAATTATCTTTTCAACGTTATAGTAAAGTGACTATTTCGTTTCTATCTGGCGCTATAGGAGCTATTTTCTATAAATTAATTATAGTGGCACTATGACGTCATCTATGGAAATGTCAAACATCTTGATGCTGTGAGAAATAAAACACAATCTTCACTCAGTTTTTGAATAAAAATTCAAAGAGTGGTAGGCTTGTATCCTTTTTAAAGACAGTTGAGTCCAGCAATGCCTTTGAGGTTCAGCCAAGCACCACTGGTGAGACTTATAGTGGTTCTAAATAGCGCTATCTGTTATTTAATCGTAAATGCAATTTGTATGGGCTCTGGTTTTCAGTGTTTAATTTTCTGAAATTCTTTTTGTACTGTTAGTTTTTTTCCCAGTATGAAGATGTATATTTCTGGGGAAAATGAGTTGTTATTGATAAATGCTCTGATTGAATGTGGGATAATCGGCCATTCTATTTATACAGATTCTACTACAGGCGAAAATGATCCTAGCAAGAGTCCTTTGCGTCTTTATGAACCCATATTTTCAACAGTTGTTGATGAAATTACAGGAACTGAAAGTAAGATGTCTGTAACTCCTTATGCTTCCAAGATAATAATTTTTTTTTACAGTTGATTTTCAGTTGACAGAGGAGGAACACAAACTCAGAGAGCAGACATATGGAGCAAGTAAGTACTTTGTTATTTATGTGCTGTATGATTACTTGAAACTTTGAAATGGAGTACTGTTTTTGGTAGGTTTGCTTTATTAGCAATAATCTACTGTGGATTTGAATTACTCATTTCAACATGTGTCTCTGACTTTAACAAAATGGTATACCATGGATTAGAATCTTACAGTCTTTGGATGGTGTTTGTTTTGCTGATCAACTTTTGTATCTACTTTTATTTTGAAACAAACAATAATGAATCATCTGGAGCCATATTGATCATATTGAAGTTAATGAAGAAAAAAAAATATTGAGTTACTTGATAGTCATGAAATTCATTTCCAATAGCCTGTTTCATTCCAAACAAAAAATGTCTCTTGGGTTTTTTGCCCAAAATAAACCAGTTCGCAGCAAAAAATTATTTTACGAACAACTACAGAGATACATCGTCATAAATGCGAACTGGATTTATTGTTATTTTGTAGTTAGTACCTGCATTAAACGATTAAAGGGTAATAAACAAAACTAATTTATTAA